TTTTTTTTTTAAAAAATAATTACCTGATCAAATGTATTTCTACGGTGTGAAGCGACAACACACACACACACACACACATACCCACGTATGGTATCTAGTGAACTCCATGCACATTTAAGCATAATAGTGACTTCCATCCTTAAGAATAACCTTAGAAATAAGCTTTTAATACCAAAACATTTAAAAAAAATTATTTTATATGATTCTGGATTAAAATATTAATATTTGAAGTATAAAATCTATAAAAATTTAAGCAGCATTGTAGCCTCCAGTACATTATGGACTCCAGTACCTACCAGAGATCCAGTACAAGAGAGATAGTAATATTTTAAATTTCGCTTTCACACATTGATTCTTAACAAGTTGACTGCGTACTAACGCCAATTGGTGTCATGAAGATCAATCAGCAACTGGGCGAAAACTGTAGAAAGACGTACTCAATACTCATCAACGTGTTAAGTATTTGAACATATAATTTTTCTTGTGACAAAAACACATCATTTGTGACTTCCGGTGACGGAGTTTTTAGTGTCCCTTTTTTGATTATTACAAAAATCGTATACAGCTGCATAGAAGACTATGTGAAAAATTTAAAGTAATTTGTGGACTCCAGCACCGGAGGTCACAAGGATTCATATACTGTAGCATAGGAGATAATGTGTAAAACTCAAAGTAATTTGTGGACTCCAGTACCGGAGGACACAACGATTACAGAGCGACTATACCCGTCAAATATTTAAATTTTACTTAACACTATATTATATACTTATAAAAAATTAAACAACATTGTTGACTCCGGTGCCTTATGGAATCCAAATAGTTAAAATATTATGTACCTACATAGTAACATCTGGAGTCAACAAAAATATTATATTAACCCACCCAACATAATAGTGTACACAAATATATTATAAATATAAAGTTTGTCAGACTTTGTCTAATATATGTCAATTTTATAGACAAATAATTATTTGCTATTCATAAAAAGAAAATACTGACATAATATTTATGATTATGATACTAAAATAATACATATACATATACTTAGTATTTTTGTAATAGTGGTGGGTGGGTGAATACTGATACTGAAGACCGATCAGAGGTAAATAGGCAATACAGTCTGCAGGTAATCTCAAAGATTGATAAAAGTCCGTTTCATCGTACAGCTGATTTCTTATTGTATGAAATCCTAAAATTATTGTTTCCGCCATGGCGCCATATTATGTTAACAACTGGTAACATCATTTTTTGTATTCCTAAGTTTTCGTTAGGTATCACATTTACAAAGTTACAACTTACAACTTACATATTTTGCTCTTAAAAAAAGACTTAGTCAAGTATTTGTTTCATCTTATTAAGTTAGTTATTAACCAGTTTTATGATAAATGTTATGTAGTTCAAGATGCTTGCAGTTATAAAACGCTTTGTTAGTTAATTTATTGAGATACAATATAGGTACTTAGGTACCTAATTAAAAATTATATTTGGCCAATACCGATCACTCAAAACTACTACTTGTTATTTCTTGTTATTTCTAAAATGTCTTATAATTTGAAAACATTTTATTTATTTACTAAGTTTTTTTTTTTTAAATTAAAATAAAATGTAAAGAATCTCAAATTTAAATATGTTGTAATCTATAAGTTTATAAATCAATATTGAGGATTGACTTTAGTTTCTAATTTATATTTGTTAAGATATAATAGTTTTTCCTTAGGTGACTGCCATTCACTCTCTCTCCACTGCATTTTATGATTTCTAAAATATTATGAAAGGTTAAATACATTTAATTTAATATAAATTTACTGATCTCTTTATTCAAAAAAATAATATAATATTTTACTTAAATGTTTTTTTTTATAATATTTGCCACTTGGAATTTGATTTTCTTCCAATCCCTGTTTTTAAGAATAGGTTCTTGTTTGATTGCAAGTAAGCAATCATGTTGTTGTGGGATTTTACGGAGTGCAATAAATTTTCCAAGTGATCGTTTGATTCCATCTATTTCAGCCTTTGTCCATCTTATATAATCCCCTCTTTTTTTTGTTTTTTTAGCAACTACAGTGGTTAAGTTTTCTGTTTCACTGTAGTATTGATCATGGTTTTCAAACAAATCACCTTTAAAAGTAAAAATAAATAAAATTAGTATTTATGTTTCATAAATAAATGATAAAAGTTAAAACCAATAGGTAACTTATGTAAATAAAGCCTTACTATTTTTAATTTCATCATCTTCTTTTTCATCTGATGAACTTTCATTATAATTATTTGGAATTATAATATCATCAAATTCATCGAGTGTTTTTCCTTTAAGCTCATTAATTTTTCCCGATTCGGCAGCTAATAGTATTTTACTAACACGGCTGAGTTGTAACGTATTGTCCGGAAGTCTGTAGTATTCGTTGTGAATTGCCAAGTCATGTCCCATAAAATTTGCCAATTGTTCACGGTCATTTGTTGTTAGATTTAATAATTGTGTTATTGTCGCAACATGTTTTCTAAGTTTTGTGGATGTTAATAATTCTGGTTGAGATGCTTCACATTTAATTGCTGCACCTCTCAGGCAGTCTGACCCTCTATACACTCCTACAGCGGTGTATGGTATAGCGAAAACATTTTTATTTTGCTCAAAAATATTTACGGATGTTCTCATGCTTAACATTAAATCCAAAGATTTTTTCATTTCAGGAGTCAATAACACAGGTACTCCTCTGCCTCTTTTACCTCTTATTTCGAATCTTATAAAACTATTTGATAGTTTTGACTCCACTTCAGTGAGAGACTTCAAAATTTCTTCTTGCATTTTTTTTTTGTCTCGGTTCAAATAGTCGTTGACATGTATCCTTTCTACTTCGCCTGATCTACGTCTATTAAGTAATATTATCTGGGTTAATAAAGTCTTACACAGTACTTTATATGTATCTTGATTAATTTCTTTTTTTTCTTGAATGAGATGTGTTACATTTTGTATTTGATTTAATAAATAATTGTGCAATAATGTTATATCTTTAGCGTCGGGGAGGCTTATAGTTTTATTAAATTTTTTTTTTGAAAGGTCTTGACAGGCGTTGGATGAAATTGAAAATTTCCATTCTTTTTGAAATACTGTGACGAAATTTTTAATTGTATTTATTTTATCTTGAGAAGAGCCTTTAATAATGGATTGGCATTCTATGATATCGGCACATTGCAGAATTGTGTGTCCTAATTTCAAGGCTATTGATGGATGTATGTAGGAGTTTTCATTTTCATTGTATCCACTTAATTCTTTTGCTGCATTAACAATTGTTTTAAAATATTGGGGTAATAAGAAATCTTCTAAATTCTTTAGTTCAGGAACTAATGTTCTTAATATTAATAAAAGTTTACTAATTTGCCTCATGCGTTGTGATATATACGTTTTTAGGTGTTGTTCACGATGATTTTTTAGTAATCTAGCCCCAAATGCACAAATCAGCTTATCATTTTGAGCCGTAAAAGATATATTGTCATATTTCATGTGAATAAAAACTTCAGCGGTTAATTGCTTGAAATCATCTGTATCTTGTAATAGCATACCACACTGAGACTGTACATTTCTTCTTTTTGTAACTTCATTATCTGGTGATGTGTCGTTAAATTTACATTTATTAGAGTGCCGAAAAATAATTTTTTTCTTAAAAAACTTTAAACAGAATTTACATGGTAAATAATCATTTACAGCCACTTTTTCAGAAGATGTAGGTCGTCTACCAACTATAAGTGAACCCTTTTTTTTTTCTAATATCGTTTTATTATAGTGAAAGTTTCCTTTATTTTTCAGAAGTTCTATCTGCTTTAAGCGTTCTTTTGATTTTTTCGGTAATAATATAAAAGATCTAACTTCAGTTTCTAATGCATGCTTGCGTTCAACATGGCGTGGAAAATTTGTTTGTAAATTTTCACAAAAAATACAGTAAACTCTTTTATCTTTAACATTTTTTTTATAGTTAAATGAACATTTCCTAGCTCTTTGGACATCTAATTCTATTTGATGAACAGCTACCGTATTCATTACATTTATGTTACTATTTCTTGGTGAACAAGGAGGTGAAACTATTGTATCTGAATCATCTGAATCACTCATTTCAAAATCCAAGTTCATTTTATCATTTGAATATGGTGTGTATTCTGGACTATTGAAACAATCAGAAGATGTTGATGTTTCTGAACCCTCAAAATCTTCAGTAATTTTGGATGTAACAATTGTACCAATAATATTCTGTTCAACATCCTGGCCTTAAATTAAAAATTATAAATATTAAAATTAAATATAATAAAAATAAAGACATCATTCCCATACTAAAATGCATGATTGGTTTATCCATTGAATGAGCCAAGTTAATCGTTTCACAATTTGGTGCATATATTTTACTTAAATCATTCTGCTCAACATCTTGGCCTTTATTTAAATATATTTAATGTTACAATATTTTATATAATAAAAATAAAGAGATAAAACGCTTACTAGAATGCATGGTTGGTTCATCCATATTGTGAAACAACAAATCAAAAATCTCACAATTTTTTGCGGTATCTACTTTATTTAAATCATTTTGATCAACAGCTTGGCCTTTAATTAAAAATAAATATATATTATAATATGTTAAAATTAAATATAAAAAAACTAAATTCATAATAAGCTTACTAGAATGCACAATTGGTTTATCCATTGAATGAGCCAAGTTAAACGTTTCATAATTTTTTGGTGCACCCATCATACTTAAATCATTTTGCTCAACAACTTGGCCTTAAATTAAATTAAAATATATTATTGTTAAATATTAAACATTATAAAAATAAAAATAAAGACATAACGCTCTTACTAGAATGCATGATTGGTGTATCCATTGACAGTTCCAAGTCAAACGTTTCACACATTTTTGGTGTATCTATCTTACTTAAATCATTTTGCTCAACAACTTGGCCTTTATTTAAATATATATAATGTTACAATATTACATATAATAAAAATAAAGAGATAAAACGCTTACTAGAATACATGGTTGGTTCATCCATATTGTGAAACAACAAATCAAAAATCTCACAATTTTTTGTGGTATCTATTTTACTTAAATCATTTTGCTCAACAACTTGGCCTTAAATTAAATTAAAATATATTATTGTTAAATATTAAACATAAAAAAAATAAAGACATAACGCTCTTACTAGAATGCATGATTGGTTTATCCATTGACGGTTCCAAGTCAAACGTTTCATACATTTTTGTTGTATCTATTTTACTTAAATCATTTTGCTCAACAACTTGGCCTTTATTTAAATTAAAATATATTATTGTTAAATATTAAACATAAGAAAAATAAAAATAAAGACATAACGCTCTTACTAGAATGCATAGTTGGTTTAACTGTTGCCTGTTCCAATTTTAATGTTTCAGAAATTGTTGGTGCATCAATTTTCCTTTTTTTCAGATTTAAACCATTGCCTTTATTTAAAAAAATATATATTTATTTATTTAAAATAGCAAAAATTAAATGCATAAAGCACTTACTTGAATTCACTAGTGGTTCATCTATCATATGGTTTATAGTCTTACCAGCTAAGAACTTTTGTATACTTTCTTTATCTTTAAAATTTAAATATAAAATTAAAAATTTGTTCTACTAACTTAGTCAATAAAATTATATTATTTTAAAATAACTATTGTTGTCAGACCTACATATTAAGTAATGGCTGCCTCCGCCCTTTTTAAATGGGTAGGCACCTAACTGAAAAATTTTAGTTAGATAGATTGACTCTAGTTGATAAATTAGTATCTACTTATAGTTAAAAGTCTAACATGTAAATGGTGTAAGTAAGTGTAGTGAAATATTTATATTTTATACTGAACAGTTTAAATTGTATTAATAATATAAAAATTTAAACAATTATAATTGTAATTATACTGTGTTTCTACTCGTAGTATACTTAATATAGTGTATGGAGTTGTGATGAACCCAAAAAAATGGGGGATAGGCATTAAAACTGCAAATCAATAAAATATCTTTTTTTTTTTATATTTTTTCAATTATTATGAAAAATCCAAACTGAAATTTTTTTACAATTGGTGCCTTTTTAGTTTTTTAGTGATGTTCATTATTATATGTATAAGAATATACAGTATTTATAATCAATGATATAAGATATAACATACATCAATGTATAAATATTCTAGTAGGTACCTATCAGATGATATCATATGATATTATAGATTACCTACCTACAGGGGTTAAAGTTGGGGGGACACAGGGGGACTCAAACCCCCTACCTCTAATGGCGGTTAAAAAGCGTCCCCTTTAACAAATTATTCGTAAGGTACGTCGGAACGCTCTCTAATTACATCCAAACATTAATCAATATAATATTTATAATTGTTTTATTTCAAAATAGCTCTTTATTAAATAATGTAAAATTGAAATTAAAATATTCATATAAACATATAGAATATATATAGATATATTATAGGTAAAGTGTGATTTTATAAGCATGTTCATCCCACCATGCGTAGAATTTGAATTTTATCTTGTACAATTTAAAGCACTAAAAACCCTACATTTGTATGATATTTTTTTTTTTGTCTAGTTGATTCCTTAAGTTATCTTAAAAGAAAATCACTACTTACAACTTAATGTTATGACAAAAAATATTAAATGTGTATAAAACATTAATTATTCTTAAAAATGCAGTTATTATTATAATATATTATTATAATATATTATTATATAACCTATTATTTGTGATTTAAATTTTTCATGAAAAAAATTACAAATTTAAACATTAATCATGGTTTTAAGTGGGATAAGTATGTTACACAATCACTGTTTATAAATTACATGTACCTGCCATATGTTTATATGTATTAGACATTATACATAAAACGATATATGGAATGCTTAAAACTGTATGGAGGCGTTAGTCCCCCTGGAATTTTTTCCCACTTTAAACCCTGCCTACCTAGTACCTATATAGAATTAATATTTATATATATATAATTTATTATTTTTCATGATTATATTTTTATATGTCCATATGCATGGTAAATTTGTGTGTCACATAAAACATAGTTTAACATAATATCTTATAGGACACGTTGACTATGCATACAGGTCTTATTAATATGTGTTTAACTATCAATGAAAAATGAAAAATAAATAGAAAACTTACTTCCTTTTTTTAGCACCTTAGCTAAATATGATTTTTTATTAACCCATTTCACCATATATTTTTTGCCAATCACTATTTTACATGTTATTGTTTTTGATGGACACATATAGAAAACATTATCATCAGTGTATTGAACTGCAATCCATTCTAATTAACAAAATATAAATTATTATTTGTACTAATTTTTAAGATTTTAATTTTGATAAATTCGGTACCCCAAGTAAATACAATTAATGGAAAAATATGCATTATAAATATTCGTTATAAATCATAAAACAAAAAAAATCTGTAAATAGTTATTCGATTTGTTATGCAATTAGTTATTAACCAGCTTGATCAAAATGTCTTATGATATTATTAACTTTTGAAAAGTAATTATATGGAAGTCTGTATACTAATGTTATAATAGCATTATCTACGTATTAGCAAAAAAAAAATGTTTATTTATTATAATTATAGGAAGCATTTTAAATTTTGAACCCAACCAACAATATATTTTTATTTTTTCGTTAGTCTTAAAAGGAATTACATAAAGCATTTACGTTCAGTAGTTCTCGTGAAACTTTGTTAGTTTTAAATTTTAATATTTGAGTAAATTTATCCATTATTAGTTGTAACAGTTATATTTTAGTCTCGTTAAAAGTTTTAAGTAAAATAATATATTTAAAATTTAAATTACAAAAATCAACTAAAATCGTAATTAAGGTTTTATCAACATTTTAAAACTAAACATTACTAAAAATATTGTGACTGTATTTTTGATATAAGAAGAATCCAGTATTTAATTTTCAAGAATTTTGACAAAAGTCGAATATTTTCATCTAAATTTACCTAGGAAAAAAACTAAAAAATATAGAATACCTTTATTAAATGTACCTATATACCTAGGTAAATATCTCTAAAAGAGTTCAGAATTTCAGATATTTTGAAAATGTAATCAACCACCATATTATATATTTAATAATATATATTAATGTTAATATACGTCTCTAGTGAAAATTTGAAGTACCTATCTTTTTATTCTTATTTATTTTTAAATAAAGCAAAAAAAAAAATTTAGTCTAACATTGATGTTGCATGAAAATGCTCGTTATACCTCATTGTAAAATCAATAATTTATTCATTATTCATCACACCGCTCAGAATCTCTAGAAAAAAATCGCTTTCTACAACCTTACGGTTCGTATTACTTGCACTAGCTGCTATATACCTATCGTAAATTATTTAGGTAAAATAAACCATTTAAAACAATTATTTTTTACTTAGGTAAAATAAATTTAATAATATATGAGTAATGAGTATAATTAATATGTAAAATTGTATTCGATGTTATTTATAAATAATTTAAGTAGAAATAGCTTACCTTCTTGTAAATCATCTTCTTTATTTTTATTGATATTCTTTAAACGATTATTTTTTCTCGTTAACATAATCACAAAATTATTTGTATTCTATAGTATATACTTCACAAGAACAACATTTATTTGAATAAACACAAAATTAAAAAATTAAACTGTTAATAAACTAAAAAAATTGTTTAATCGTTAGGTAACACGAGAAAAACAGCAAAAACAAAACATAATTTAAACACCATGAACAGTAAAAAGTAAAAATCAGACAATCAAAAAAGCTACCATCGACGTTCAACAATCGTGGAAAGAATGATTGAATATTTGGTTACGTAGTACGTACTATAATATGTAGGCTCCTTCTATATTATATTGCCGTCGTTCGTATTGTACGAATAAGGGATATGCATAAAGAACGATAAGACATTTGGTGGGACACTATGGTTTTCCCTGTATAACTCATATAGTCTTAACATTATGATGGACACGAAGTCGCAGGAGTCATGTAATAGACAAGAGGGCAACGGGGGAAGAGTCTAATAAATGGCATAATCGTATTGTTTATATCAACATAAACAAATGTTTTTTTAAAAAAAGCGTGTACAAAATCCCAACTACCTACTAACTATTATATTACTTATCGACTCAAAGTAAATTGTATTGTTACACATCAAACTTAAGTTTGAACACGTAATTTCATTTGTGACTTCCGATGACGGAGGAATCAGTGTCACTCTTATAATTGATAGCCGATAGGTTAAGTCGTAAATTGTAACTTGGAAAAATATGTGTATAATTAAAAGTAATTTGTTACCTCCAAGAGGTCACAACGATTACAGTGCGATTATAATATTATAAATTTCGCATAAATTCTCACATTGATCCTTAGGTATTTGAACAAATAATGTTACTTGTAACAAAAATACATAATTTGTGACTTCCAAAAAGGTGTTACACATCGAAACATAATTTTACTTGTGACTTCCGGTGACGGAGGTATCAGTGTCACTCTTCAACAGACTAATAGTTAAAATCGTATTCTGTGGTATAGAAATATATGTGTAAAATCAAAGTAACTTGTGGACTCCAGC